GGATATAACTTCAAATGAGAAAAACGATGAAAGCTTGTGTGTGAGTGTACAAGATTATATTAGATTAAGCTTACAAGAGTTTCAACATACCAATGTAAATTTGTTCGTTTCTGATTTGCATAAAAATTGTAAATAGATTATCCATATATTTGATCTCATCTTTAGTTGTATTCACCTTAGATCATTTTAAACGATCATAAGAAAAAGCTAAAATATTTTTACTTATACGTCGTACATATGTGATTTAATTTTGCATCATGTTCATAATTTTCAATTTTTTTGAAATTTTTGTTTATTACTAGAATGATTAGTTGTTAAGGCATAAGTAAAGATCTCAAATATGTATACATATATTTTTAATAAAGTTTCTTATTTTCAAATTCGAACTTGTTAAAGTCTATTATTTATTGTAAAAAATATATTATTTAGCGACATAAAAATTAAATTTTTGTTGAAATTTTAGTAATTGAAGTCGTTAATTGATCTTATATACTTTGTTGTAGCAACAAACTTGGAATATTTATGATTTATTCCATTTTAATTGCGGCGAATAACTTTTTGATGCATTCTAATATAGTCATCTTGAATTTTTCGATATGTAATCGATATTTTGTCGTTTTACTTGATATGAAATTAACGAAAAATAATTATTAGCAATTCAGAACGTGTCGTCATTGCATTCATATTTTTTCTATGGATCTAATCAAAATCTATTTTTCATTACACAAAATATATTTCTTCATATATATCATAGTTAGCCATTGGATCTCCTTTACAAAGCCATAAATGGTCGAATTTACACATCCTAGAGGGCTAAATCATCCAAAAATATTTTAGCATTGTTGTTGAGATCACTCATTTCAAATTCAAATATGTATATCTAAGATCAAGAGCTTATATCACAACTATTCCTGTTTTTACAGAGGCAACACCAAAAAGTGTTAAAGCGATAATGGAAGTTGAAGGAATTGCACTTCACCATGTGAAGAGTCATCTCCAGGTTATTAATTTAGTTATGTATTTTCTTCATATGAATCAAGA